AAAAAAAAAAAAAAAAAGAAAAACCAAAGTCACTGCCATTGAGTCAATTCAGACTCAAAGAGACCCCCATTGGGTTTCCAAGGCGGTAAACCTTTACTAAAGTAGATTGCCTCATCTTCCTTCCATGGAGTGGCTGGTGTGTTTGAACCGTCAACCTTCTGGTTAGCAAGCAAATACCTTAGGCACTCTACCACCAGAGCTCCTTGTGGTATATTATATAGATATGAAAATTGACTTTCTGGCCTCTTACACTTACTTGTCAGATCTTTAGAAGAAACGAGTAACAAAGTATTTGAGGGAATGGTAACTGGTGTAGGTCATTGAGAAAACTGATGTTATCCTCAAGTGTCTCAGGTTTATTTGATACACATTTTGTGTTTAAGTATCAACAATGCTGAGTTCATAGATGGTACTGAGCAAATCTTTCTTGAGTAAGTGATTTGGCCCTTTTCTTATAAATGTGGCTTCTTCCTTATTTAGCTGCATTACAGGCACTAAAGAGAAAGAAGAGGTTTGAGAAGCAGCTAACTCAGATTGATGGCACACTGTCCACCATTGAGTTCCAGAGAGAAGCCCTGGAAAACTCACACACCAACACCGAGGTATTAAGGAACATGGGCTTTGCAGCAAAAGCAATGAAAGCAGTTCATGAAAACATGTGAGTGATTTTTGTCTGCCTCTGAGTCATAAATTCCCTTGATGTTGAGAAGAGCTTCTGAAGCTATGTGATAATTTTTGCAGGCTCTGTGACATGGTGGAATGGAATGCTGTCTCAGAGAAAAATTAGAGTAGTATAGTGGCAACAAACAAACCAAGGAACCAAAAAAGGAAACCAATACTAGAATAGTTTCAGAGAGGCCACGAAAGACATTTTGTCCTTAATGGTTCCCAGCTCCTCACTATTGCCTAAAATTCCACTTGTAAATACTTTATTTCATAATTTTTAAAAAGGCTTAAATGTAGACATCTGTGATGATTTTAGAACTATAGAATACCCCACCCATGGCTGTGGAGTCAAATTCAGACTAATGGTGACTCTATAGGATAGAGTAGAACTGCCCCATGGGGTTTCCAGTGCTGTAAATCTTTACAGAAGCAGACTGCTGAGTCTTTGCCTGCAACTATGGAATAAGCAACAAAACAAATTCAGTGCTGTCGAGTCGAATCTGACTCACAGTGACTCCTCCTTGGGTTTCCGAGGCAGTATCACTACGGAAGTAGATTGCCCAATCTTCCTTCCAAGGAGTGGCTGGTGGGTTTGAACCACCAGCCTTCTGGTTAGCACTCAAGTGCCTTAGGCACTATGCCACCAGAGCTCCCCAGCTATAGAATTGTGGTGGTCAAAATTTCATGGTTATCAGAATCACCTAGAGAGCCAATAAAGAGCACAGAGGCCCAGACTCCTTAAAGTAGGATAGAATCTGGGGCTTTTGGTTTTTGACCCAGTTTCCCGGGTATTTCTGATACTAACCAATGTTTGATAACCACTAATATACAATAATAGTTATTGTCATGTGTTTGGAAGTCAGACTTTCTGAGGTATAATCTCAGGCCAGTAGTGACTATTCCTTGGACAAGTTACTTTGCCTCTCTGGGATTCAATCTCCTTATCTGTATATTGGTGTTAATAATAGTACTTATCTTATATGGTTATTGTGAGATTTAATGCACTTAGCATATAGTACCTGGCAGAAATAAGCACTCAATAATCAATATTCATCATGTAGTGGGGCTGGTGCTTTACATCCACATTGGGAAAAAAAATACCTGGGACCTGATCCTGTCTGGAGATTGGACTTGGCTATGATAGTGATTTGATGTCCTGGAAGAAGTGTAGCCGGAATGCTGCATAGAAGTGAGAATGGCCAGACTTTGTCTCACCTACTTTGGTCATGTGGTCAGAAGGCACCAGTCCCTGGAGAAGGATGTCATGCTTGGTAAAGTGGAGGGTCAGAGAAAAAGGGGAAGACCCTCAACAAGTTGGATTGACATAATGGCTGCGACAGTGGGCTCACGCATAGCAAGGATTGTGAGGATGCCCCAGGACAGGGCAGGATGTCGTTCTGTTGTACACGGCTGCTAGGCATCAGAGTCAACTTAATGACACCTAACAACAACACGATAGTGTGGTCTGGGCCAGAGTGTCTGAGAGATGTAGAGAAGATTCCATAGGATGGGAGAGATGTACAAAGAGGAGCCTGGAATCAGTGAAGACAACTTTAACAATTCATTAACAATCAGTAGCCTTTTAGACATCTTCAGCAAGATCATTAAATTTGTTATCTGAGTCAGGATTCTCTAAAGTTGCTGTAAGCTGGATACTAAAATGTATTACAAAGCCTATAACCTTAACAGGAGCTCTGGTGGCATAGTGCCTAAGGCACTTGACTGCTAACCAAAAGGCTGGCAGTTCAAACCCACCAGCCACTCCTTGGAAGGAAGGTTGGGCAATCTACTGCTGTAGTGATACTGCCTGGCAAACCCAAGGATGGGTCCCTATGAGTCAGGTCTGACTCCACGGCACATAACAACAACAACAATAACCTTAACAGCATTATCTCATTTTGTTCTTTTTGGGAAAATTTACCTCCAGGCCCAAAGTTTAGTCACACCCTTCCCATACCTCTTTTTGGAAACATTTTCATTATAAACAGCAGTAAGGGTTGGAAATGAGAAGTGGTCAAAAAAATCAAACCCACTGCCATCCAGTCAATTCCAACTCCTAGTGACTCTATAGGACAGAGTAGAACAGTCCCATAGGGTTTCCAAGGCTGTAATCTTTATGGAAACAGACTGCCACATCTTTCACCATGGAGCAGCTGGTGGGTTTGAACTGCCAACCTTCCTATTAGAAGCCAAGCACTTATCCACAGCTCTACCAGGGCACCCTGAGAGGTGCTAGGAGGGTGGTAAAAGTTCTATTTTTTATTGCTATGTGAATATATGTCAAAAGATTCAGCTTTTACCTTGTATAGATTCTGGGAAACTCACAAAAGATAAATTCTGCTGGGAATTAAAAGTTCAATTATTAGGTTACTTAATAATGAGGAAAATTGCCCATACTCTTGTATCCAGTCAATAGTATGACCTAATTTCAGAGTTGTAGGAATGATTCAGAGACAGGTTACTACAGACGCAGTTCAGATACTGGCATTGAGACACTCAGCCTGGGTGGTTAAGGGCCAGTGTTGGTGCAGTTGCTAGAAACTGTCTTTGATGCAGCTATCCATTCTGGGCCTGTGGCTACCTGGATTCCTTTGCTGGGCTGCTGATTCTTTTGAGAGCTTCATAGGGCTAATTTTGCTCTTATTAGTAATCTCCAAGAGCATCAGGAAACAGAATCCCAGAGCTACTAGGCATTCTATGAAGTAGATCTCCAGTTTCAGAGTTTAGCTCTGCTAAAGGCTGCTGTCAGATCGTGGTTACTGAGAGCTGCCATAGCTTACCTTAGTCATTGTGGTCCTTGGTGGTCCATGGCATAATTTCCTGGAAAGTTGATATATAGCAGCATATATTTAAATTTTGCATATGCCCTATGGAATAAAGTTTCAAAATGGGCCCACAAATATTGTAATTATAACAAGATTGCTATTGACTTCCAAATCTAGTGACTATCTATGTCATATTTAAAATATGTGTACACATTTGGATTCTTATGTTTTTTAATTGCAAATGAGCACTAGGAATTTTTGTTATCCTGCTTAAGTAACTAAGGATGTATTATTAAATTGAGTCTTTCTCATACAGGATTATATCTAAATTCATCATTTTAAGTTAAAATTATAAAATGTTTTAACAAAATATTATTTCCTAGGGATCTGAACAAAATAGATAATTTGATGCAAGAGATTACAGAGCAACAGGATATTGCCCAGGAAATCTCAGAAGCGTTTTCTCAACGGGTTGGATTTGGTGATGACTTTGATGAGGTGGGTAACACGAATTTAGTGTCTGTGGCTACTGCAAAGGGTGGTTTCCCACCATAGATAGCAGGCAGGTTTCCCTTCTTACTCACAGAATTGATTAATAAAAGACATTTATTAAAAATGTACTTAAGAGGTAAATGAAGTGGTGGTAGACTGATTTAAAGGAAAGATTAATACAGTTTTATAGTCTTCTAATTAGCATTTTCAACTATTAAGGAAAATGCAGCCTGTGATTATGTAAGGTTAAAAAAAACAACAAAACACTGCCGTCGAGTTGGATCCGACTTCTAGAGACCCCTTCTTGGGTTTCCAAGGAGGTATCTCTACAGAAGTAGATTGCCCAACCTTCCTTCCAAGGAGTGGCTGGTGGGTTTGAACCACCAGCCTTCTGATTAGCAGTCAAGTGCCTTAGGCACTACGCTACCAGAGCTCCCAATAGCCCCATTATGAGGAATAAAGTGCTTGTACATTTGGGCAAAAAAAGCAGATTGTGTCACTCTGCAACGAAGAGAGAGATCACGCTCTATAGCTATTGAATTAGAGTTTTGGCCTCTCTGTCTATTACTCGGGCTATGAAACAAAGTAAATATGGAGTGCACTATTAACACACACATTCCATTAATCAATCCAATAATCCAGGCTAAGATTATAATGGTGATGCCTGTACTGTGACTTTCAGTTGCTCTGCTCAGAGCACACACAGGTAGGATAGGTTCATGTTCTGAAACATTTCCAATGATCAGATTAGCATGGTAAAGAATCTGACTTCCTGTATCCATATAGTATTAAGAATGACACATCTAACAAGTATGATATGGTTCCATGGAGTCTTAGAAAATAAGAATTAGGTGTCAACAATTTACTTACATAGTGTTTATCAGAGGTTGGAAAATATGGCTGGTGGGCCACCTCTTTCCCACAACTTGTTTTTGTATAGCCTGTGAGCTAAGGATGATTTTTACATTGTTAAATGGTTGCTGAAAATGACAGCAACAGCAACAAAGAAGGTTATACAACAGAGACTGTATGTGGCCTAAAATGCCTGAAATACTACTTTCTGGCTCTGCACAGAAATACTTCACAACTCCTTGAATAGACTAAGAAGCATCTAGTGAGTGTGTTGTGACACAGTAGAAAGGGCTTTGGGCTGAGCACAAGGACATATGGGTTCTACCACTTTTTATTAAGCTTTTTGTAAGTCTCTTTACTTTTCAGACTCTTAGTTTTGTCATCTAGTAAGTCAAAATTACTGGATCACCGGATTCTCTCTAAAGTGCATTAATTCTCTTCTCTACAATTGAATAAGTATTTGGTACCTAAAGGCTGAAAATGATGGCAGAGATGATTATTCCATTTTCCTCATATTTCTAACCCATCACCCACTGCATCGAGTCAATTCCAACTCATAGTGATCCTATTGAACAGGGTAGAACTGCCCCATAGAGGTCCAAGGCTGTAAATCTTTACAGATGCAGACTGCTTCATCTTTCTCCCTCAGGGTGGCTGGTGAATTTGAACCGCTGACCATTTGGTTAGCAGCCAAATGCCTTAACCACTGTGCCACCAGAGCTCCTTAATATATTTTCTGAATAAAATATAAATATCTTCCCAATGTTATTAATAACTGTCAGGCACTATTGGCAATTCTGGGTATACATTCCGAGCAGAAAACCTCCTGTTCTCCCATTACTATATTTATACTTAATTGTTTTGTGAGAGCAAATAGGTGATCAGAGTATGATTCTGATGCCACTTTATTCTTATAGGCTGTGGAGAAGCAAGAAGCACACATCTAAACTGACCATAATATTTCACATGGACTCACACCCACATACCATCATATGTTATTTCCTTTTCACAAAGTAAATTTAACAGAAGCCAGACAATTTTTTAGCTTGATGCATGTCTGAGATCAGTTGACTTAATAAAATATTGTGGTTGGTGTAAATTTCCATTCTTTTGCCCTATAGTATCACTACCCTCACTTTAATATAAAACCAAAAAAAAAAAAAAAAAGAAAAGACCAAACTCACTGCTGTTGAGTCAAATCTGACTCATAGCAACCCCTCCTTGGGTTTCCGAGGTGGTATCTCTACGGAAATAGATTGCCCAGTCTTCCTTCTGAGGAGTGGCCGGTGGGTTTGAACTGTCAGCCTCTGGGTTAGCAGTCAAATGCCTTAGGCACTACACCACCAGAACTCCTCACTTTAATATGGGATAATGATTTGTTTCCCATTTCAAGCATAACTTCGTTGAATACAGGGACTGTGTATTCAACTTTGTATTCCCTGCACTGTGTGCCTGTGTGCAAAATGGGGTAAGGAGTCAGCTCTCAATAATTATTTGTTGAGTGATGAATGAGTGAATAAAGGAAGAATCTAAATGGTTGAATATCATAGTGACCAGGTCATTTGTAATACTGACAACTTCAGAATTTCAAAGATGACAAATTTAATTTCAACTCCCAGCCTCTCTCTGGAGGAGGACAAGGATTCATGGAGCCAGTAAGATCTGAACTATCTCAGTTTGTGTCAGATATGTCATAAGGTGACTTATACCCTTATGGTCTCAAACTCATCTTGCTTCCTTAAGGTAGGACAGAAGATAGTTCAGGATAATCCATACTTTCTGGGATTATAGCTAAAGAAGGACATGCAGTACACCTTCCTTGAGTTGAAGTTTTCTCAACTTAAATTACCCAACACAATTGGGAAAGACATTTGGCTAATCAGAAGGCAGATGGTTCAGTCCCACCAGCTGCTCCATGGGAGGCAGATGAGGCAATCTACATCTATTTACAGGGGGTTGGTCTGAGTCAGAATTGATTTGATGGCAGTGGGTTTTGGTGATATAGTATCTTTATTCTCTGTACACTACGCTGTTTGTATATCTGTATCTGTTTCATTTTTAATAGCATTAGCCCAAATAAAAATATTTATTTCCCTCAAAGACATTGAGACTATTTCACAAATTCTTAATTTTCAGCCATAGAAAAGATACATTGAAAAAAACAAGTAAGGTGTATATTTCCTAGAAACTGTGGAAGTTGTAAATTTAGCTAACCAAAATTACTTGCATGACTGTTTACTGAAGTATTGTATGATTAACTACAACAAATTTGCACAACCCAAAATAGTCATTTTTTAATCATTGCTCAATGTTGCAAAAAGACTTAGTTTCAAAATAACTATTCCGTTTCGCTGGGCTTTCACATATCAATTGAGTAGCAGATGTTCTTGTTATTGTGTTTGAGGAAACCCCCGTCTTGAGATGTTAACTCCATAATTCTTCTTTTTTCCTGAGTTCAGGATGAGTTGATGGCAGAACTTGAAGAACTGGAGCAGGAGGAGTTAAATAAGAAGATGACAAACATCCGACTTCCAAACGTGCCCTCTTCTTCCCGCCCAGCACAGCCAGAGAGACTGTCAGCAATGCCCTCCAGTGCACATCGCTCACGAGCAGGTCGGTTGCCCAGCTCAACTACCTGAGGTCAGATAGTTGCCTAATATAATAGCCAGGCTTTTGCCTTTTAGCACTTATTTTTGATTCCATAAATATACACATTTTTATCCATAATTAATTCTCGTTTTCTATGTTGCAGGTATGAATGTCATCAATTACTAATTTGTGTCCATTTTATGTTACAGCATCTTCCAGGAGGACAGAAGAAGATGAGGATATCAAACACCTGGCAGCTTGGGCTTCTTAAACTAAAATGGAATTTTTTAAATACCTGAGTTAATGAGATATACATAAGACATATAAACAAATTGCCAAGGTCAGAAGTTAAAGTTACTGTTTTACATTCACACTGGATCACTAATTGTAATTTAAAGCTTGAAAAAGGAGAGATGTGTAGACATAGGATCAGAGGTAACAGCATATAGAAGGATCCATCCACTTTTATGGCATGAGCTATGTCTATCTTGTTCACTACTAGATTTCCAGTCTTGGGAATACTTACATGTGCTGTGTATACAAATATATTTATTGGTGTTCAATATATATATATATTTGTTGAAAGAAAAATGAATTCTACTAACATACAAGGCACACAACAGTTTGTGAGGCATTTAAGAGTGATACCTTTAGGACTGTGGAGCAAAATAACTTCCTTTTTGAAGTGAATGCAAGTTTATGGTGTTTATCCATTTTAGGAGAGATGTAGCCATGATAAATGTAAATACATAGTATCTATCTTAGGAGAGATTTCTTACAGAATAGTCTGTACATATGTAGTTTTGCTTGAGTTTTGAAGTTTAAAATCTTAAAGGAGCTGTAATTGACATTTATCATGCCAATTAAGCTTGAAATGGGGCAGTGGATGCATTTCCCAAAAATGTCTGAAAGCACTAACAGCTTAGCTGCTGAGCTAGAATCCCCTGGGTGTAATTTAGCCACTTAGGGAGCAGCGTTAACGCTCCCAGGCCATTATGGTGCTGGTATGGCTTCAGAGCACTAAATGTGTGTGTGAGTGCTCATTCTTTTCTACTTTGTGTTCTCTTGTACATTTATTTACACTTTACAGAATATTCCTTGTAAGTACATAAAAATAGAAGGAATTAAAAGTGTATCTTGAATAAAATTTTGACAATTATTTTTAAATGAAAATGTAAATTACAGAAGTATTTATGTATTTCCCATAAGATCATGCACCATTTAATGACAAGTATCATTATAAAAAATATTCTAGTATGTTCTACATTTGTGTAGCAACACAGTGGAATGGAAAGAGCACTACACCTGGAGGTGTTATTGTTGTTCTGTGCCTTCAAGTCAGACCTGACTCATAGCAACCCCTCCTAGGCTTTCTGAGGTGGTATCCCTATGGAAGTAGATTGCCCAACCTTCCTTTCGAGGAGTGGCTGGTGGGTTTGAACCGCCAGCCTTCTGGTTAGCAGTCAAGTGACTTAGGCACTATACTACTAGTCCTGGATTCCAGTCCCTGCTTTGCCACTACTAACACAGTATGACTTTAGGCATGCCACAGACTCTCTGAGCCTTTGCTTTCTCAGCGGGAGTCAAAGGATTAGACTTGATTTCTAAGGGCTCTATCCTGCCACAGGCCTTTTGCGTATGCTGTTCTCATTGGCTGTCTCCCCACCCTCTAGAACACATATACCAATTTTTATGTATTCTTTAAATCTCAGTTCAAATGTCTTCTGGGAATTGATTGCTCACACTTAGGTCTCACCATTATATGGTATCATAGTACTTTGCTTTCCTTTGTACATTTATCAGGGTTGCATATTTACATATCTAGTTTAATTATTACTGACTTTTTTCTGTTAGGCTGTAAAAACCACTAGGGCACGTCATGTAGTAACTATGAGGTTATTTCTTTTAGCTCTGTATCTCCCTATGCAGCACAGTTCATCCTATACAGTAAACCTTTAGTAAATATTTATTAAATGAATGGCTATTTTTATATATTTAGGGACCTGACGGAATAACAGGAATCACATTTATCTTCTTAACTTCAAACTAGACCTTCCTGCTTAAAACTGGACCAAATAATATGCAGCACCACTTTCCAGATATCGGACGACAGGCGGTGCTGGTCTGTGGTTCGATAGAAGGGGAACAAACAAAGTGAGTTCTTCCAGTGTCTCAGTTTACGGTCTGCACAGGAAAGGGAAGCCCACTTAGAGCCTGGAAGTCTTGCTGAGTTAAAGAAAATGTGTGGGGAAGAGTCCTGGAATGGATGGAGCTGCAAAGAGAGAGCATTGGAGATTTGCACGGGGAGCCCCTCAAGTCTTTGGCTGAGTACAGTCAGCCTCGATATATGAGGGAACTGCTGAGACTGGGAAGAACTACCAGAAAGAAGAAGGCAGAACAGTCCCCAGATTGCTTTAGACAGGGCAGGAATAGTTCGTGTTCTTACCAGCCAGAGTGGAAAGACCTACTACACAGGATGTTGAATTGCATCCTTAGGAGTGTATTACCTCAGTTCTGGGGTAAATTATGCATACACTGAAGACTATTCTGCGCCTACTGTGAAAAGGTTAAAAACAAGGATCAAATGATTCGAAGTGACTTAACTGCATTCCAGAACAAAGCCCAAAACTATTTAATAATAGAATATAAAACATTCAAAAAGCGAAACAATAAAATCCCACTACCTAATAGCATAAAATTCAAAGTCTGACATCCATTAAACATTTTTGTTTTATATTCAAAGAAACAGGAAAATACAACCTACGACAAGAAGAAAAATCAAACAATAGAAATGGACTCAGAAATGATGGGTGATAGAATTAGAACATAAGTCTGTTAAAACAGCTATGATAAATAAACTGCATGTGTGCACAAAAAATAGAGGAAAACATGATAATGATGCAGAAAGAAATGGAAGATACTTTAAAAGACCCAAATGGAAACACTAGAGATGAAAAATATACTATCAGAAATAAAAAATTAGTACACCGTAAGCGATTAACAGAAGCCCTGGTGGTGCAGTAGTTAAGCAGTTGGCTGCTAACTGAACCATAAGCAGTTCAAACCCACCAGCCACTCTATGGGGAAAAATGTGGCAATATGCTCCCATAAAAATTAAAGCCTTGGAAAGCCTATGTATGAGTCTGTTCTGCTCTGTCCTATAGGGTTGGAGTTGGAATCAACTCAATGGCAGTGAGTATGGGATTAACAGCAAACTAGACACCACAGAAGAAAAGATTAGTGAATTTGAAAGACAAAGCAATGGAAACGATCCTAAATAAAACACAGAAAGAAAAAAGACTGAAAAAATAAAACAAAAACAAAAAAACCACCTGAACAGAGCAAGAGTGAGCTGTGGGATCATAGTAAGCAGCCTGAGGTAGAAATAGGTATAGTCCTAGAATTGTAGTACCCAAAGTAGGTAGGTGGATTGGGAGACTTGGGAGATGAAACAAGACAGAAAAAAATTTTGAAGAAATAATGGTCCCAAATGTCCAAGGTTGGTGAAAACTATAATTTATGGAAGCTCAACAGTCCTCAAGCAGAAACTTTTATATTTTTCAGTAACAAAAGTTATTGTAGAATGTTAAAATGCCAAAACCTGTGAGTTCTGAGAGACATTTGACTGTCTCCCCTTCCCTTGTTAAACACACACACATAGCTAGTTCAGCTAGACCTGCCCAGCTAAAACAATATCCATTAGTCACATGAAATGAGCACTTGAAATGTGGCTAGTACAATGAATGAACTGAATTTTTAATTTCATTTAACTTTGTTGTTGTTGTTGTTATGTGCCATCGAGTCGGACTCGACTCATAGCGACCCCTCCTTGGGTTGCTGAGGTGGTATCACTACGGAAGTAGATTGCCCAACCTTCCTTTCGAGGAGTGGCTGGTGGGTTTGAACCGCCAGCCTTCTGGTTAGCAGTCAAGTGCCTTAGGCACTATGCTACCAGGACTCCCTTATTTAACTTTAGTTATATTTAAAAACTGATGCTTGCTTCATTTATTGAAAAATTTTAAGTATATTTGAAACAACTATTTGAATTCTGAATCTACTATTTCAACTGTAAAATTTATGAGCTCTATATGTAGACCAAATGTTTCTGGTGTAAATTTGCAACTGAACCAAGATATTTTCTAAGTATAAAATACACATTGGATTTCTATACTTTGCATGAAAAACAGAATGTAAAATAATCTCAATAATTTTTTATATTGATTACATGTTAATATGATCTTAGTTTGGATATATTTGGGGTAAATAAAATGTGTTAAAATTTATTTCATCTGTTCCTTTTTTACTTTGTTTTAAAAAATGTAGATTTTTAAATTGCTGTCAATGCATGTATAGATAAAGCATGATTTGAAGTACTAAACGTTTGATGTTTTGAAAATACAACAAAATTGTGCAAAAAGTGGTATTTTAATCTGAAATTACCTTTAAAATACTTTGAAATAAAATCACAATGCTATCCCTTTGTTGACAGTAAGGAAAGAGTACAACAAATAAAATTTGTAAATGTAAGTCATCCTTAAATTGAAGAGGTATTAAAAAGAATAAAGCTATTAATAAGTCATCTAAAGGCATTGCTAGCAAGTCATCCATAGAATGCAGAGACTTTATTTGAGAGTTAAAAATTCTGAAAAGTTTGCTGAAAATTGGTCTCACTGCTTTCCAGTGGCACCTCACTGGTGGACCTCGGTTTGAGTTTTGTATTTTTAAATAAAATGTTCTCCTACATATTAGGGTTTTCCCCCGCCCTGTTTTCCTTTTTTGGTTGTAAGAACATATTTAACTTAAAAGACAAACTTTGATTTATAGGAAGTGATTTAGATCGCTCTTATAATCAAAGGAAATGCTAAAAATGCAAATCTGAGGGAAGACAGAAACCAGGGAAGCTCAGGGCAACCAGGTCTGAGGGATTCCTTCTGAGTGGCCAGTTGTACAGAAAAGCAGAAAACCATCATTTTGAGTAAGCTGTCTTTCTGCTTGAGTCAAAAGCCTGAGCCTTAGCGTTTTTTAAATGAAAACATTTTAGTATGCATTTATTAAAAAACTTTTTATTGTGATCTGGGTGAAGGTTTATAAGAACAAATTAGTTTTCCATTCAACGGTTCATACACATTTTGTTTCATGTCATTAATTGCAGTTCCCACAATGTAACAGCATTTATTTGGAGCCATACTATTTGATTGGTCCAGCTTGGGTCAAGTGACTACCTGTGGCATCAGCCAATTGAACCCACATGGATTGAGAGGCCAGAAAGGGAGTTTTC